TTTTGGATCGTTGTTTCAATTGGTAATGTATAATATATAAAAAAAAAAAAAAAAAAAAAAAAACGTTGAAATAAACTCATTACCCGGCAATCTGGGATTTCCTCGTGGCAAGCCTGTGTTGCCGGGTCATAGAGTGCTGAAATTTATCAATTAGGCGTTTTTCTCTTAATATTGAACCATCTATTTACATCATCACAACAACGTTTGAAGGAACGAGAAATCGAAGGAATTCGAATTTCGTTCCTTTAAGGGGGAGGGGGAAAAAAAACCGCATTACCTCGATCCGGAAGTCGTGACGATTCCTTTCATGGAGCCCTCCGATCGTTTTGTCTGAACCATGGATAACGTCCCCGATCGTGGGATGTCGCTGAAATCAAAATTCACGCTCGATTACATAGCCGCCATATTGATCGAATAAGCGAATTTTCAACCGCGATTTTTTTGTAATTGTAATTAATTGGAAAAAAAAAATTTCTCGATAAAGGGGGTCAGGAAAGCTTATGGGGATGGAGATTTTCTATCGGAAAAATTAATTTTTGCAAAACAATTGAAATCGTTTGATAATGATCAAAGTGTGTATGTAACTTTCTAGGGACATTCGAATGAATCCCATCGGCTTTCCTTCGCCCAACATTTCGACATATTTTTCGTATCCGCGTGCGCCTCCGATGATGTGGCACATCATGCAACAATGAAACATTACTCGCGATATGTATAAATACAGATAAATAAAATGGATAAATAAATGAATATATAAATATATAGATAGAAGAAAAATATATATAAAGTATATATATATATATACATATATATATATAAATATATATATATATATATATATTTATATATATATAAATGAGAAACCGGGCGTCGTCGTCAACGGCGTGCAGACGACGAGACGGGTTATTCCAAGTTTTCGAGATCGAAATTTGCGAGAAGATAATCGTTGAAATATTAAAAAAAAAAAAAAAAAAAAAAAAATTTGGCTTTTCAAATAAAATTCGAGCAATTTTTCAAAGAATGAAATTTCAAACATTTTTCTTCGTTCGATTTAAATTTTTTTTTTTCCGAATTGAAATTGAGAGAAATAAAGAGAAAAAAATTTTTCCTTTTTTTTTTTTTTCTTTTTCAAAAGTTTCTCCCCTGTTTCGATCTCGAAATCGTGAACAAATGACGATTATGTGTTGTTATCGCACGGTTGATGATAATTATTTATTTATATGGATGATGATGATGATGCTGAACAAGCGATGATGAATATGATGAACGCTGCTGATATAAATGATAATAATGATGATTGACACACTACGACGCTATTTGTCCGATACGATTAATTAACGCCGGTGGTGATAATAATGCTGATAGTGATGATCACGATAATAATGTAGAAACGTACGATGACGATGTAACGAACAAAGATTCGATGATGTTCCTGTTAATAAATAATAATGATAATTAAATAAACGAAACAACTCTACCATAAAATACTAAGTCAGGTCACACATTATTTTTCTTTTTTTTTTTTTTCGGATCTCGCTCGTGGGCAAGGAATAGAATAAAAAGAAAGAAAGAAAAAAAAAAAAAATTATATATACGTATATAAGAAAATTTGCAAAAAAAAAAAAAAAAAAAAAAAAGGAAACGAAGCGCATCATTAAGAATTGTATTATAAAACAAAGCAAAAAAAAAAATAGTGAACACGCAAGAAAAGAAAAAAAATAAAGAAAGCAAGAACAAAGTGTGCGGCCGGCACACAGCGTCGACGACGCTGGATTCGGATCGATTAAACGGCGATTAATCGATCGTTTGTTCACCGGTTGACTGGCGCCGACGCTGGCCGGCATTCGTCGACCCGTAATTAAACGAGAAGCACGTACGTATAAACGATTATATTATATGGAATACAATGTGTAATAAAGCTGTTGTCATTTTTTGTACTTATATATCTTTCGACTGAATTTTTGATTTTTCGACGATTTTTTTCGCGAACGTTTTGAAAATGATCCTTGCATCTCCTTGTCCACTCGTTTGCCACTTCCCCTTTCAATCAAAGTGCCCTCTTATATTTATCCTTTTCTCATCATAAATTCGTTCCTTTTCGTAGATATTGTTAGTTTTTATTTTCCTCTCCGTTATTTTCCACTTGTTCAAATTTTATTTGGAATAAAAATGGGATAGAGCTTTTTTTTTTATTTTTCTTTCTTCGTTCACAACGAGATGTATTTATATATATATATATATATATATATTTATATATATATGTATGTATATGTTTGCGAGAAGAGAATGTATTATTAGGTATATGTATACCGTGTAAAGATTCCTAACTTGTCCATAATTCATCTGTAAAGAAAAAAAAAAAAAAAAAAGAAGTAACGTTATCTATAATATAAAGAGGCATATATACACGTTGCGAGTCTGTGTATATTTGTAGCAGAAAATTGTACAATTAATCACGATCACGATTTTGCGATTATTATTACTATTTTTATTATTATTATTATTATTGATTAATTATTAATTATTTTATTATGATATCGCCAACGTGTACATAGAAAACGAATTGTCAATATAATTATGTCACGCGAGTGACAGCGAACGATTAATAATGATACATTAAAATGAACTAATCTGCTGTGTCTTGCATTTCACCTTTTTTTTTTTCTCTCCAAGTGTTCTATCCCGTCTTAATTCGATGCATAAAAAAAAAAAAAAAAAAAAAAAAATGCAAAATATATAAAAAAAAAAAAAAAAAAAAGAACGCTAAGAATATAAACAACGAAATAAATCACGAGATAATAATGTAATCCCTGGAGGAAACATTATATGTATATGCACGTGAGACTAACAAGAAGAACTGAACCACGTTCCAAGAGTTACGCAATGCACGCTGAATCCTTAAAGGACGATCGCGAGCTCGCTATTTCCGCGGAGGGCCCCGCTTAAGAAGGCAAGACACGGATGCATCGCGACAAAGTAGCCGCGAACGTGGCCCCGCTTGTGGGAAGATCGCGAAGAAACGACCGAGAGAAAGGGAGAGCGAGAAGGAGGAGACGAAATCGAGAAAGAAAGGTCCGGGGCTCGATGGAGGAAGTCGCATCTTCTTGGAATGACATCAGATTGCTCTGATAAGGGGACAACGATTTTATGTAACCCCGATCAAGCATCGTATGTATACATATATACGGTTTGCATTAGAATTCAAGGAATCACGGCAATCGTTTTGCTCCTGGAATAAATGGATTCGACAGTAAGCGTCAACCTTGTGGTCGTTTCTATGGGAAAGTGATAATAAACACGTGGACGCATGATTCGAATTCTAGAAGATGAGTGAGAATTAAATTATCTCGATACGTTAGAAAATTTTGTTTTTCCTCTTACCATTTATTTATTTATTTTTATATTATTAATGTTCTCTTTCTTCTGATTCATTTCCTTGTCCTTACATTATAGCTGATTTATATGGAAAGATCTCTTGGTGAAATCCAGTATGCTAGTGTCGTGGATATTTTATACAGCTTTAATAGTTTTAATCTCTAGAATCTCTGCAAAATGAAAGCTGATTTTATGCGTGAACGTTATGACTTTTGACCGCTAGATAATTCCAAATAGCTTCAATGGATGAAAGTCGGTTCGTAAATCGTTGTAGTGAAATTTTCAAATGACCAATGAGTGTTAAAATTATATAAATCCTTCTCTTTGTTTTATCTGTCTATAGAAATAATAAAATATTGATTCACATGGTATAAATAATTCAATTTGATATTATCAGCAAACATTAATTATCGTTTCGTTATTGATTGATAATGATTATAATATTAATACATAAGAATACAAATACTTATATATTCATAAAAGGATAATCAATATTTATGATCACGTTATTAGATTTTACCTTCTCGCTATTATTATCTTTCATTAAATATTGATTTCAAAGAGGTAATAAGGGGAAGATAACAACTACCTCAAAGTTATTTAAATGTAAAAATTAAAATCCTAAAATAATAATTCCCACTGTTGAAATGCCGTGTTAATTATGATGGATATTAAGAATAAAAAGCCAACGATATCAGATATATTTACAAATTAATAGAATATTCGATAATTTATTGCGATAATCGGATTTCTAACTTTCAATTCGATAACTCGATGAATTCGATCAACCGCTCAATTCATTTAAGATGCTTTAATCGAATTTCGAATCTATCGAATACTCGAACGCCCTCGCCATTAATTCTATACGAGATGTCGACGAGAACAGAGACGCAATTCCACGGAGCACAGTCTCAGAAGATATTATACACGGTACGCTATATAAGCAGAAGCTCGGGAACCTCGTGAAAGTCGTCGAAGTAACATCGTGGCCAGGCTACCCACGACTCATCGTGTCGTTATATACGCGCCGGTTATTACCTGCAGCTTCGCCGTTGCAAACCCATTACGACTGCCGTGGCATTCTTCGTGTCTATGCCTGCCTCCTCTCCCCACTCACCATTCTGACAGCCCATCTTATTCTTTTTCACCTTTCCCCTCTAGTTAATTAACATTTTTGTCTATACATTTTTTCGCCGTTCCGTCGGTATTTCTTTTTATCGATATGTTTTCCGACTGTGCACTCGCGCAATCGATGTTATTAAGAATCGAGAATATTTGCGTATGCGCATACGCATAAACTAGGAACGCGAGTGAAAATCATGAAGTTTTTACAATATCATCGTTTCAATTGTTAACAGACTATTCGACAGATGTTTCGTGGGATCTCGTATGAAAGTGTATATATCGAGATGATCAATCGATTTCTTGTTTAGAATCGAGGTTATAAAAAGAATAGGGTATCAATTCAGTTACCTGTCATCATTCTAACCTGTACAATCCGTTTGCAACGATGCGACGTTGACAGAAAATATCGTTTGAGATTTGTTGCCGACTACCGATCGATTCTCGATTTG